TGTCATTGATATAACATTAAAACAATAAAATTGACATTTCTTACCACCAAGAAGAATATGAGCAGCACTAATAGCGTACGTTTAAAGAGGATTAAGCATATAGTACATCTATTAAAAAGAGCAAATACTTTTCCCTTTCTTGAAAAAAAATTACTCGTGATTATTAATGGTGTCAAAAATAAGTTGATGAAGTAATAAAAGCAGTTAAATGAAGATATCATTTCCATTAGATAGAATGAAAATTAATGATAAGGTATATACGTACATGGATATGCTTTTCCGCGTTTTTATTACTATCTTTTTTTTAACAAAGCCAATGCAGCTATAGAGTTCTAGAGTCTAAATCAAGCGATCATGTGTCCCTGGTAGTTTTGTTTCAGACAATGAATCGGATACCTACAAAAACTGTTTATTTTAAGGCACAACACAAAAATAGTCACATTCACAAATTAAATTTCTTTTCACCCCACATTTTACACCGTCATAATTGTACTTATGAATTTCAATATTTAGTTGTAAACATTTTCCACTACCATCAGGGCTACCAGGATGCAAAGGTATCTCCGAAATGTTCAGTTCTCGTCCGCCAATCCATTTGAAACCATTAGTTGATTTTATTCCACTGATCAAAGCTCTTATCTTGCCAGCTGAAAAAAACACAAGGAAAAATGTTTTAAAATTGTGTTAATCATATAAATGACACAAAAGAAAATATACTTGTGTGTATACGATGCTTTATGTGTTAGAGACTACTTACAGTAATAACCAAGGATATTGTTGAACTGTTTTTCATAAGTGGCCGTTATAGCCAAACGGCCACCAATAAGTACACACGTCTTATTGGCTTGGTTTAAATAACCTCATACTTGTCAAAGACAACAAATGATTGACCATTCTTCATTACCAGGCATTGTTGCCGAGCTAAAAAGGAACGAGGTCAAAATCAGACCAAATATATTGTATTCATACGTAATCAGCATACAACAAAACTGATGTTTCCAACTCGAGACAAGACATTTTAAAGAATGAATCAAACTTTACGATATCCATCCAAGGGTCGATCAACCACAATGAAATAACATAGACAAGGTATTATAGCAATTCACCTGGAAACACGTCAGAAAAAAGACAGCGATTTGTCCGTGAACGAAATATCTTTCCTTCCTTCGTTTGGCGACTGTCAAGGCAAAGGTTGAAAATGATCAGATAAAGAAACAACATTTGAGCTTCACACATTCGGCTTGTTTTACGGATTCTAAAACCAGTGAGGAATCTTGTCGTAATTATTGGTCTTCACATCTATCGTACAAAAAGTGATTCAGTTTTCTGAGTAGATGTCTCTTAACTTAAAGAATCAAATCAAAAGACTTGCTACTAATTTGACAGGAATAGTGAACAAAACAAATCCTGGGGTTCGGTTGGTTTGCTAATGATTTTTTTAATGTTTTTGGAAAGATACAGGGAACTATGTATTTAGACCTATTAATTATGGTTTTATGAGCAATTAATAGGTCTAATTACCCAAAGACTAGGTATGATCACTTCTTTACCTAAAGTTAAGAACTTATGACCGAGTTCCCTTACTTGAAAAACTACTCCATGCCGTTCGGAAAGGATTTCTCTCGAGATGATACATAAGTGAGACTTATTCATAGTTTTATGCAATACAATGAAGAAAAATGATAATTCGTATGACTTGAACGCTTAATCCTAAAAAAGATAAAATCCAAATTTGACAGCACAACTCGAGTAATTATATTTGATTACGATAAAGGAAAGTGAAAAAAAATCAAAACTTTGATAAATGCAATCTAAGATTAATCAATAAATTCGAACGAGTAACTAACAAAGTCTGTAATAAAGCAAGGGAGACAATCGTAAATAAATAATGGGAATTTAATAAGTTTTTGGGGAAGTTTTGAAATGCTATTTAACGCATTAACAATTTCATTCCTATGGTGACATATTTCTGCCAACGTGTTATTTCAGGTCGCATTATGGTAACACGATTTGTCGAGATAATTATGTCGACTTGTCGTCTTATTAACATGCTCCAGGTGTACAGTGAGCGAAAGTGATCGCAACCCCTTTAGTATTAAGGATCCCATGTCCCTTAAATGTGATAAACAGTTCATAAATCCATCATTTTAATACTGAACACAATGAGCAGATACATATTTCAAGGATTATATAGAGATCTATTTCCCAAGCCCCATTTCCATAATTTTGTTCCTTAACGCTGTGTTAAACTGTTGGACTGACCGACTTTGATCAAAGGAAAAAACATTTGAATTATGAAGAAAGTAGAATAAAGATATGTAACGATGCAAATTACCTTTCCATAAGGACGTGCTTGCCACTTGAACAGGCCCTTCAAGGAAGGAATACATCTTACATTCTCTTGTAGAGCTGCTGAATGTTGCAAACAGAGAATGTGGAAAGGATGACGAAATCAAAATTCATTCTCCTACTAGCCTCACAGTTGATTTGTAGAAGAAGGGTTTGAATTCTGTGTTCTCGTAGATTATATCACGTCGCCACATGGAACTGTGTACCTCTGTAAATACAAAAGGGGTTAAATACAGTTAAGATTCCAATGTAATAACAATATTATCTGATGTGGTGTCTTTTGCAGGCTTAAGTTTTCACAATACCGTAGATGTTAAAGCCAGATGAAAAACACATTAAAGCCAGATGTAAAACACATGAAATCATCGTTTTTCTTGTATAGATCTCCCCCATCAGACACCACGATGCAATTTTGCAGCACTACTATTGTAGTCCTGGTTATTGAATAACAACACAAAACTATCACTACCTGTGCTTCTTTGCAGCGATCTTTTCATCCTTAGTTCGGTGTATAACGCGTGACACGAGTGGAAATCAATGGCACACTGAAAAATCTTATCAAATTACAACCGCTACAATAAATATTGATAAATATATATTTGTTTTGACCAAAATGTATTATGACAGCGCATCCATTATATATTAATATATCTATTAATACTCGGATGTATAAGTGCAAACTTATGCCCCGATTAAAATGACATCATATTGAATTGACTTTCTGACACGAAAAACAATGGCCTAAAGCCTAACTTATCTATTTAAAAAAAACTCGAGAAAATGCCAACACGCCTGCAAACTAACGAGCATCAAACACGCCCAGTTTTATATCGCACAAAGAAATACAATATTTCATACTTTTCATTAACTGGCAACGTTTGAAACCCAGAAATATGTGTTTGTTCATCAATTGACGAAATGTTAACACTACATGCGAAATGTTAGCACTACATGTTTTGATGAAAGAATATTACTATCCAGAAATGGAAAATTCTCAATAGGGAAATGAAAATCATCATGCTTGTCGTACAGCTTAGTGAAAAGCTGTCAATGTTGTTTTCATTATAGAGAAAGATCACGATATGCCGAAGAAGCTGAAGGATCTGTTGTGTCCTTGATTTCAGAAAGGCGTGTCGACTACGTATGAAACACTACATGCATTATATATCAATAACGAGTTACCCTCTCGTTACGCGTTATCGTTAACCTGATGGCACGTAGCCCCGCTGAGTGCAATGACCAGGTGGGCGCGTGTGATCAGTATACTTAATGATAGGCCAATAGCGCGTTGTTAGGTGCAATAAGTGATCGCCTGGGATTATAGTGGAGCGACTTTGCATGTCATTAGTTAATGAAATCTTAATGATTTGTATTCGATTATTAAACGATTGTTTAGGTCCTCTTAGAATTAATGTAACTCTAACTTGGTTGTTGAATGACCATAGAAATCTAGAAATACCCGTTGGCAGAAGTAAGTATCTATGAATGTATCAGATATGTTTGTTATTCCTCTCTGTACTTGAGTTTTTGTATGTTTACTATATGGCGATATAAGCATACGTTTTGTAAAGTGAGTAGGAATATTTTTGTTTCTTTGTTGGATATTATTTCATTTAAGGAATTAATTCAATGTTAAGGAAGATAACATGAAAAGTATCAATATTATTTTTGTTGAGTTTTCTTTATTTTTATTACAGAGTGGGGAAGAGCTTCTACTACAATGTAAAATGTATACACGATGAAGTGTATCATTTTGAGATGAAATCCATCATGGAAACTGTAATAATTACACATGTACTTTCAAGGAATGTATTTATCTATGGCTTAATTATTCTTATTGGTAAGTATCATTCAAGACCATGTGGTTGATCAATATTTGATCAGTTACTGGTTACTATTGTAAAAACAACACAGCAAATCGAAGATTAACATCCATTCATTCCATTTGGTATTTTAAACTAATGTATGTTGTAAACTTTACTAGCATAAACAGCATATCAGTGCAGAAAAATCATTGTTTTTTTTCAAAGTTATGTTACATATATTTAAAATGTGTAAAGAGAAATACAAAGATTTCTTATTTACTGTGTAAGTGTTGTTTACTTCTCAGCAATTTCAATGTTTGTTAAGTTTTATATCGAAAAGCTGGTTCTACCAAAAGTATATAATATGATGGTTACTACACCACAGAAGACCTCTAATGATTTGGTACATCCACACCGTTGTATGCACTTTAAGCACAAAATTATGCTATTGTTCATGAAATTTGTTTTCAACTCTTTATAGAAACATGTACGTTGGGGTCATACATTAATTCCGGTTCAACGCCAACAACCACTTTAGCATCTGATTCACGGGAACAAACCTCTTTCATGACGTCAGCAAGGACTGAAAGTACAAAACACTACAGCTCAACTTTTGTGGCATTGTCAGGTGGTTATAACAATTTAGGCACAACAAACAAGGAAACAACTTATAGTGGGTCCACAACGAAGACTCATTCATATGTATCGACTACTAGTAGCATAGCTGAAACGAAATTATCTACCGGTAAGGCAATATTGACATCTTTAGGCGTAACAGATACAAATACGGCACAAATTAATGAAAACAAACATATAACTAAAACTCATCATAACTACAGTACGATCATGACCGATGAAAATTTACACACAACGTCAACTGCTGATATTCTTAACACAACCGCAACAGGTGAAAATAAACAAATGAGCATAACAGGTGAAAATAAACACATTACCACATCTGGCTATACTCTAAACACAACCACAACTGATGACAATATACACACAACCACAACTGATGACACTCTACAAGCCACCGCAATTGATGACAATATACACACAGTCACAACTGATAACACTTTACAAGCCACCGCAATTGATGACAATATACACACAGTCACAACTGATAACACTCTACAAGCCACCGCAATTGATAACAATATACACACAGTCACAACTGATAACATTATACAAGCCACCGCAATTGATAACAATATACACACAGTCACAACTGATAACACTCTACAAGCCACCGCAACTGATGACAATATACACACAATGATAACTGATGATACTCTTCACACGACCACTCCTGATGATACTCAACGTACGACAAAAACTGATGAAACCCTACACACGACCAAGACTGATGATATTCTACATACGACAACAACCGATCATACTCTATACACGACAGCAACTGATGACTCTCTGCATGCAACCACAACTGATGAAAATAAACACACGACCCCAACTGATGACATTCTACAAACGACCACAATGGGTGATTCTCTACAAAGGACAGTAACTGATGACAAGTTACACGTGACCACAATTACTGATACTCTATACACAACCACAACTGGGGATACTCTACACTCGACTACAACTGATGATACTGTACATGCAACAGGAACTGTTAATACTCTTCACACGCCTAGAACTGATAATACTATACGTACAACCATAACTGAGGATAATGAACAAACGATCATATCTGCGGGTACTCTATACACAACCACAACTAATGATAAGCTACCCACGATCAAAGACGATGATATTGTATATACAACCGCAACTGATGAAACTCAACACACGACCACAAGTGATAACACTCTACATACAACCACAACTGATAATACTCCATATATGACCACAACTGACAATACTATACACAAGACACAAACTAACGATACCCTACGCAAGATCACAAATGATAATAAGCTACAAACTACCACAACTAATGATACTATGCATACGACTACAACAAATGATACTCTATACTCAACCACAACTAGTGATAATGTACGCATGACAATAACTGATGATACTGTATATAAAACCACAACTGATAATATTCTACACAAAACTACAAATCATGATACTCTTCATACAACAACAACCTCTGATACTCTACGCATGACCACAACTAATGATACTCCACACACAACCACAACTGTTGATTCTCTATACACGACAGCAACTAGTGGTAATGAATATACAACCGCGACTGATGATACTCAACACACGACCACAACTGCTGATACTCTAGACACGACCACAACTAGTGATAATGTACAGATGACCACAACTGATGATACTCAACACACGACCACAACTGCTGATACTCTAGACACAACCACAACTAGTGATAATGTACAGATGACCACAACTGATAACACTGTACATACAACCACAACTGATGATACTCAACACACAACCACAACTGTGCAAAATAAACACAAAAACACTTTACATACAACTGTAACCGATGATACTATATACACGACCACAACACAAAATATACACAAGACCACAACTAATTACAATGTCCACATAACCAATGATAAGGATACTCTTAATACAATTGCACCTGATGTTGCTCTACACACGACCACAATTAGCGATCCTCTACAAACGATTACAATTGATAATAAACTACGTACAACCAAATCTAATGATAATCAACACACGACCACAACGGATGATACTCTACGCACGACCAAATCAGGAAACACTTTACACACGATCACAGCCGATGAAATTAACCACACGACGACCACAACCGATCATAAAACTAAAACTGAGGATACTCCACACATAAACATAACTGCTGATACTCTAAACACCACCTCAATTAATCATGATGTACACATGACCACAAATGATGAAACGGCTACAGCTTATTATATTCTACAAACGATCACTACACCAGACAGTCCTGAAGACACCACATCATCACGAAGTGTTACTTCGATCACCACAACAAACAGTCATGAAGACACCACATCTTCACATCGTACTACTTCCATTACTACAACAGACAGTTCAAAAGACACAACAACATCAGACAATACTCCCTACATAACTACTACAGAAAATAATGCAGTCACAACATTATCGGAAGGTACTACCTCCATCACAACACACAGTCCCATAGACACCACATCAAACAATACCCCATACATCACAACTGCAGAGAGCACTGTCGAAACAAAAGCATCTGAAGGTTATACTTCCATCACAACAGAGAGTCCCATTAACACTAAATCAAACAATGCCCCATACATCACTATTTCAGAGAGCACTGTCGAAACAACAGTTTATGAAGGCACTGCTTCAATCACAGCAGACAGTCAAATAGACACCGCAACATCAGATATTATTCCTTATATCAATACTACAGATATCACTGCAGATACAACATTATTTGATGGTACTACTTCCATCACGACAACAAACAGTCCCATAGACACTACATCAGATAATACCCCATACATCACAAATACGAAGAGAACTGTGTATACAACATTATATGTAGGTGATACTTCCATCACAACAGACAGTCCCATAGACACCACATCAAACAATACCCCATACATCACAACTGCAGAGAGCACTGTCGAAACAAAAGCATCTGAAGGTTCTACTTCCATCACAACAGAGAGTCCCATTAACACTAAATCAAACAATGCCCCATACATCACTACTTCAGAGAGCACTGTCGAAACAACAGTTTATGAAGGCACTGCTTCAATCACAGCAGACAGTCAAATAGACACCGCAACATCAGATATTATTCCTTATATCAATACTACAGATATCACTGCAGATACAACATTATTTGATGGTACTACTTCCATCACGACAACAAACAGTCCCATAGACACTACATCAGATAATACCCCATACATCACAAATACGAAGAGAACTGTGTATACAACATTATATGTAGGTGATACTTCCATCACAACAGACAGTCCCATAGACACTACATCAAACAATACCCCTTACATCACTACTACAGACAGCACTGTAGACACAACAGTATCTGAAGGTACTACTTCCATCACAACAGACAGTTCCATAGACACTATAACATCACACAATACCTCTTACATCGCTACACCAGAGATTACAGTAGACACAACAAGGTCTGAAGGTGATACATCCTTCACGGCAACAGACAGTTCAAAATACACTACATCAAGCAATACCCCATACATCATTACTACAGAGAGCATTGACGCAACCACAATGTCTGAAGGTTTTACTTCCATAACAATTGACAGTCCCATAGACACTACAACATCAGACAATACCCCATACATAAGCACTACTGAGAGTGCTGCAGATACAACATTATCTGAAGGTACTAGTTCCATCACAATAGATAGTTCAATAGACACTACATCAAACAATACCCCATACATTACTACCATAGAGAGCACAGTCGCCACCACAATGTCTGGTGGTTCTGCCTCAATCACGACAACAGACAGTTCCATAGACACTACAACATCAGACAATACCCCATACATAACCACTTCAGAGAGTGCTGTAGACACAACAGTATCTGAAGGTACTACTTCCATCACAACAGACAGTCACATAGACACTACAACATCAGACAATATCCCATACATAACCACTAGAGAAAGTGCTGTAGACACAACAGTATCTGAAGGTACTACTTCCATCACAACAGATAGTCCCATAGACACTACATCAGATAATACTCCATACATCACTACTACAGACAGCACTGTAGCAACAACAGTATATGAAGGTTCTACATCCATCACGACAATAGAAAGTCCCCTAGACACTAAAACGTCAGACAATACCACTTACATCACTACCCCAAAGAGCACTGTAGATACAACAGTATCTGGAGGTACTACTTCCATCACAACAGACAGTCACATAGACACTACAACATCAGACAATATCCCATACATAACCACTAGAGAGAGTGCTGTAGACACAACAGTATCTGAAGGTATTACTTCCATCACAACAGACAGTCGCATAGACACTACATCCGACAATACACCATACATCACTACTACAGAGAGCACTGTCGCCACCTCAATTTCTGAAGGTTCTACTTCCATAACAACATACATTGCCACAGATGATAAAACTTCCATCACAACAGACAGTTCCATACACTCTACAACAACAGAAAATACCTCTTACATCACTTCTACAGAGAGCACTGCAGATTCAACATTACCTGATGGTTCTACTTCAATCACGACTACAGACAGTTCCATAGACACTACATCAGACAATACCCGATACATCGCTACTACAGGGATAACTGCAGCCACAACAGTATCTGAAGGTACAACTTCCATCACAACGGACAGTCAAGTAGACATTAGAACATTAGACAATACTCCCTATATAACCACTACAGAGAGCACTGTAGACACAACAGTATCTGAAGGTACTACTTCCATCACAACAGAGAGTCCCATAAACACTAAATCAAACAATGCCCCATACATCACTACTTCAGAGAGCACTGTCGAAACAACAGTTTATGAAGGCACTGCTTCAATCACAGCAGACAGTCAAATAGACACCGCAACATCAGATATTATTCCTTATATCAATACTACAGATATCACTGCAGATACAACATTATTTGATGGTACTACTTCCATCACGACAACAAACAGTCCCATAGACACTACATCAGATAATACCCCATACATCACAAATACGAAGAGAACTGTGTATACAACATTATATGTAGGTGATACTTCCATCACAACAGACAGTCCCATAGACACTACATCAAACAATACCCCTTACATCACTACTACAGACAGCACTGTAGACACAACAGTATCTGAAGGTACTACTTCCATCACAACAGACAGTTCCATAGACACTATAACATCACACAATACCTCTTACATCGCTACACCAGAGATTACAGTAGACACAACAAGGTCTGAAGGTGATACATCCTTCACGGCAACAGACAGTTCAAAATACACTACATCAAGCAATACCCCATACATCATTACTACAGAGAGCATTGACGCAACCACAATGTCTGAAGGTTTTACTTCCATAACAATTGACAGTCCCATAGACACTACAACATCAGACAATACCCCATACATAAGCACTACTGAGAGTGCTGCAGATACAACATTATCTGAAGGTACTAGTTCCATCACAATAGATAGTTCAATAGACACTACATCAAACAATACCCCATACATTACTACCATAGAGAGCACAGTCGCCACCACAATGTCTGGTGGTTCTGCCTCAATCACGACAACAGACAGTTCCATAGACACTACAACATCAGACAATACCCCATACATAACCACTTCAGAGAGTGCTGTAGACACAACAGTATGTCTGAAGGATCTACATCCATTACACAACAGACAGTCACATAGACACTACAACATCAGATAATATCCATACATCACTACTACAGAAAGCACTGTAGCCACAACAGTATATGAAGGTTCTACATCCATCAGGACAACAGAAAGTCCCATAGACACTAAAACGTCAGACAATACCACTACATCACTACCCCACAGAGCACTGTAGATACAACAGTATCTGAAGGTACTACTTCCATCACAACAGACAGTCACATAGACACTACAACATCAGACAATATCCCATACATAACCACTAGAGAAAGTGCTGTAGACACAACAGTATCTGAAGGTACTACTTCCATCACAACAGACAGTCGCATAGACACTACATCCGACAATACACCATACATCACTACTACAGAGAGCACTGTCGCCACCTCAATTTCTGAAGGTTCTACTTCCATAACAACAGACATTGCCATAGACACCACAACATCAGACAATACCTCTTACATAACCACTATAGAGAGCACTGTGGATACAACATTATCTGATGATAAAACTTCCATCACAACAGACAGTTCCATACACTCTACAACAACAGAAAATACCTCTTACATCACTTCTACAGAGAGCACTGCAGATACAACATTACCTGATGGTTCTACTTCAATCACGACTACAGACAGTTCCATAGACACTACATCAGACAATACCCGATACATCGCTACTACAGGGATAACTGCAGCCACAACAGTATCTGAAGGTACAACTTCCATCACAACGGACAGTCAAGTAGACACTAGAACATTAGACAATACTCCCTATATAACCACTACAGAGAGCACTGTAGACACAACAGTATCTGAAGGTACTACTTCCATCACAACAGACAGTTCAAAATACACTACATCAAGCAATACCCCATACATCATTACTACAGAGAGCATTGTCGCAACCACAATGTCTGAAGGTTTTACTTCCATCACAACAGACAGCCCCATAGACACTACAACATCAGACAATACCCCATACATAAGCACTACTGAGAGTGCTGCAGATACAACAGTATCTGAAGGTGATACTTCCATCACGACAACAGACATTCCCATACACACTAAAACATCAGACAATATCACTTACATCACTACTACACGGAGCACTGTAGACACAACAATGTCTGAAGGTTCTACATTCACCACAACAACAGACAGTCCCATACACATTACATCAGAGAATACCCCATACATCACTAGTACAGAGAGTGCCGTAGACACAACAATGTCTGAAGGTTCTACATCCATCACGACAAAAGACAGTCCCATAGACACTACAACATCAGACAATACTATAACCACTACAGAAAGCACTGTAGACACAACAGTATCTGAAGGTACTAGTTCCATCACAATAGATAGTTCAATAGACACTACATCAAACAATACCCCATACATTACTACCATAGAGAGCACAGTCGCCACCACAATGTCTGGTGGTTCTGCCTCAATCACGACAACAGACACTTCCATAGACACTACAACATCAGACAATACCCCATACATAACCACTTCAGAGAGTGCTGTAGACACAACTATGTCCGAAGGATCTACATCCATTACGACAACAGACAGTCCCATAGACACTACATCAGATAATACTCCATACATCACTACTACAGACAGCACTGTAGCCACAACAGTATATGAAGGTTCTACATCCATTAGGACAACAGAAAGTCCCATAGACACTAAAACGTCAGACAATACCACTTACATCACTACCCCACAGAGCACTGTAGATACAACAGTATCTGAAGGTACTACTTCCATCACAACAGACAGTCACATAGACACTACAACATCAGACAATATCCCATACATAACCACTAGAGAAAGTGCTGTAGACACAACAGTATCTGAAGGTACTACTTCCATCACAACAGACAGTCGCATAGACACTACATCCGACAATACACCATACATCACTACTACAGAGAGCACTGTCGCCACCTCAATTTCTGAAGGTTCTACTTCCATAACAACAGACATTGCCATAGACACCACAACATCAGACAATACCTCTTACATAACCACTATAGAGAGCACTGTGGATACAACATTATCTGATGATAAAACTTCCATCACAACAGACAGTTCCATACACTCTACAACAACAGAAAATACCTCTTACATCACTTCTACAGAGAGCACTGCAGATACAACATTACCTGATGGTTCTACTTCAATCACGACTACAGACAGTTCCATAGACACTACATCAGACAATACCCGATACATCGCTACTACAGGGATACACAACAGTATCTGAAGGTACAACTTCCATCACTAACGAGAAGTAGACATTAGAACATGCACTGTAGACACAACAGTATCTGAAGGTACTACTTCCATCACAACAGACAGTCACATAGACATAGACACTACATCAGACAATACTGAAGGTACTACCCATACATCACTACTACAGAGAGCACTGTCGACCTCACAACACTTATAACAACAGACATTGCCATAGACACCACAACATCAGACAATACCTCTTACATAACCACTATAGAGAGCACTGTGGATACAACATTATCTGATGATAAAACTTCCATCACAACAGACAGTTCCATACACTCTACAACAACAGAAAATACCTCTTACATCACTTCTACAGAGAGCACTGCAGATACAACATTACCTGATGGTTCTACTTCAATCACGACTACAGACAGTTCCATAGACACTACATCAGACAATACCCGATACATCGCTACTACAGGGATAACTGCAGCCACAACAGTATCTGAAGGTACAACTTCCATCACAACGGACAGTCAAGTAGACACTAGAACATTAGACAATACTCCCTATATAACCACTACAGAGAGCACTGTAGACACAACAGTATCTGAAGGTACTACTTCCATCACAACAGACAGTTCAAAATACACTACATCAAGCAATACCCCATACATCATTACTACAGAGAGCATTGTCGCAACCACAATGTCTGAAGGTTTTACTTCCATCACAACAGACAGCCCCATAGACACTACAACATCAGACAATACCCCATACATAAGCACTACTGAGAGTGCTGCAGATACAACAGTATCTGAAGGTGATACTTCCATCACGACAACAGACATTCCCATACACACTAAAACATCAGACAATATCACTTACATCACTACTACACGGAGCACTGTAGACACAACAATGTCTGAAGGTTCTACATTCACCACAACAACAGACAGTCCCATACACATTACATCAGAGAATACCCCATACATCACTAGTACAGAGAGTGCCGTAGACACAACAATGTCTGAAGGTTCTACATCCATCACGACAAAAGACAGTCCCATAGACACTACAACATCAGACAATACTATAACCACTACAGAAAGCACTGTAGACACAACAGTATCTGAAGGTACTAGTTCCATCACAATAGATAGTTCAATAGACACTACATCAAACAATACCCCATACATTACTACCATAGAGAGCACAGTCGCCACCACAATGTCTGGTGGTTCTGCCTCAATCACGACAACAGACACTTCCATAGACACTACAACATCAGACAATACCCCA